AATAGGTGATAAAATATTTCCTGAAGGAAGCACCAGGAACACCTTGAAAGGCCTAAATTTACCAGAGAACACCAACATGAATCCATAACATGGAAGGTCGTGCTTTAATTTTTTAAATTAGAGTCGTGAGATAAACAGTGGTTAGGAAGGGGAGGGAGGCGTGGGTAGACTGCACGTTCTTAGACTGTAAAAAGGCCTATCATACGGTGCCCCCATTGAAGTTTACTTAGAAAATTTGCTAACAGATTATATGAAAGAAAGAGAAAGCAGAAATACAAGGAATGAAGAACCAGAATGAAAGAAGTGAAAGTAGTGATCTTTCACTGTCATTCATGAAGCGACTGTAGGAATTAACTAATAATTAGCTAATAATTGTGCACGATACAAAATCATCAATTATTATTATTATTATTTATAATTATTATTGCTCGTGGCCATTTCGTCCTTTGAATATTTACAGATATCTAAAATGTTTTTATTAGCAAAATGTTTGATGTATATTTTATTACTAAATTATTGTGGGGAACTGTGTTCGTCTGTTTAATATTGGGGAAGTTGTGTGCGTGTGTTTCAGGTCTTGTGGAGTCGTGGTTGTGTGTTTCAGGTCTTGTGGAGTCGTGGTTGTGTGTTTTAGGTCTTGTGGAGTCGTGGTTGTGTGTTTCAGGTCTTGCGGAGTCGTGGTTGTGTGTTTCAGGTCTTGCGGAGTCGTGGTTGTCTCGTTAACCCTCGGGAAGTAATGTTTTTGATTCCTGGGAAGCAGTTTCTTAAAACCCTTGGGAGTAATGTTTACTTACTTTTATCTCTTATGAGCAGTATTCATTTCTCTCATCTCCTCCTCTTTTCCACTTCCTTCATTTTCTTCCCTTCTCTCCATGCTCTATTCTTCTTGTCCTTTCAGTTCCTTCTCGTTATTCTCGTTGCATAGTCTCATTTCAAACGAGTTTCCCCATTTTTTTCTACTTCGCTTCTTTCTCCTTCATCTTCCTTTTTCTCTCTTCTCGTCCCTTCTTCCCACCCTATTCTCGTGCCCCCACTCGTCCCACAAGGCAGTCACAGAGGGTCAGTTCTCATCCGGATGAGTGGGCATGACGCCCCCTCCCCATGACCCATCCCTCCTCCCCCATCATTCGAGTGAGTGGGTTTCGAAGTGGTTAGTCGGCAATTCTGTGGATGGTGAAGCAAGCCACGATTGGATTACCCACGTTAAACTAGAGGTGTAGGCGACACACACCTGTCACTGTTTCTCTCTCTCTCTCTCTCTCTCTCTCTCTCTCTCTCTCTCTCTCTCTCTCTCTCTCTCTCAGCAGATTTGAGGTCAGGAGCTGTGAATCGACCCCCTGCAACCACGATAGTCATAACCACGATAGTCATAACAAAAAAGACGGCCTTCCTGACCACTTTCACAGACACGTATATTATCACACGTTCTGGAGGTCAGTGTAACCAAGGGTTCTTATAAATGCAGCCAATACAGATAAAGTACTGAGGATATCCTGTCAAGACAGAACCTGAACAATGGTTCCAGGATGGATAAACTTAGATTTAGAAAGGATATAGGAAAGTATTGGTCCAGTCCGCCAAGTAGGGCCATCATTGTCAAATTTTGGTTGCCTTTAAAAAATAGTTTGGATAACTCTACGAGTGAGAACAGTCGAATTTGAGAAGTGCCTATGTAGCATAGGCCATTAGACCTACTGCAATTCATTTTTTATAAGGTTGCTGGACGAGACACACAAAGAGAGAGGAAGAAACGCAGACAGAAAGAGAAACACAGAATCGCAAACAGAGAGAAACAAACAGAGGAAGAGAAAGGAAGAGAGAGAGAGAGAGAGAGAGAGAGAGAGAGAGAGAGAGAAGAGAGAGAGAGAGAGAGAGAGAGAGAGAGAGAGAGAGAGAGAGAGAGAGAGAATCACTTAACAGTCCTCGCGAATTTCTACAACTTAAGCAGATAAAACAAAAACATTGGGTGGGTCGACTACATCTTCCTTGACTGTAGGAAACAGTTGACAATGCACCAAACAGTACTCCAGAAGCTGGACAAAAAGACAGGAGTCAATGGGGAAACCTATTCAGGGGTACCAGAAAAACTGGGCCAGGGTATTAAGTGGGCTACCACGACCTTTGGGTATTGATGTCCTCTAGTTGATAAATTTAGACATGTGGAACACTTCGGTATCTTTATTGGGGAAATGTTTCTCCACACACTGGTTTCATCAGTCCACTGCCAAGAAGGATAGTAAAGATCAGAAGGACATTAAGGTAATTAGTCCCTTATTCTTATCAAGACTGATGGACTGATTACATCGACTCCAGGCTGAGGGACTGATTACCTCAGTCTCCTGATCTTCACTATTAATTGTACTGGACTGATGAAGCCACTGTATGGGCAAAACTTTTCCGCTACAAAAACACCCAAGTGTTACACATGTGTCTAATTTATCAACTTTTCAGTTCTCTGAACTATTTATCTACAAGTCTTCTAGTTCACCTTATATAAGTGAACGATATACTTGGTATAACTGGCTTCAGGTGTGTAAGAGAGCGGGTGTGAATACAACACTGACATAACCAGGTATTTCAGTGATGCATTGTACATGTTTTACAGTACCGACAAGATAAAGAATTAGACATATGTGCAACATCTGGGTATCTTTATTGTAGACGTTTCGCCATCCAGTGACTTTATCAATACAAATTCAAGGATATAATTTGAAGACATTAGAACTATATACAAAAGATGAGGTAATCAGTCCCTCAGTCTTAGAGTTGGAGAATTTGTATTGGTAAAGCCACTGGATGGCGAAACGTCTACAATAAAGATATCCAGATGTTGCACATGTGTTTAATTCTTCATCAATGATGCGATGTTTCTGTCCTCATTATCACCTCTCCCCCAGAATTACTCGTTGCTACCACCACCTCTAGTCAGTATTCTCCTAATCAACCCCCCCTCCCTCGACCCACCTGTCACTCAGTAGTAGTGCCTGGCGTCCGTCAGAGTGCCAGTCTGTCAGGTAGGTGCCACGTCAATTCGATATTTCTATGTGGCGTTAAGTGATGGCCTTACTGCAGTGGCTAAATATCCTGGTAGTGTCCAGCTGTCACACCACCACCAGCTGTCACACTGCCACCAGCTGTCACACTGCCACCTCTTCGCAAATGGAAGCCTTCACTGGGGGGTACGCCGTGGGAATATTCCTGCTGGTCTCTACCACCGTGGACAGGGTCACCCCTGTGGACCACTTCTTGTTGAGTGGGTTGTAAGGGCAGCTGACAGCTTGCGCCGTATCGAATCCAGTGGACGGTCAGCCTCACTCAGGCTGATAACAGACATCCATTGACTCGCTTCATTACAACATGACTTCCACCGTCTCCAGCATTTATTCTCTCTGTGGAATTGATAAAACCACTGGTTGGCGAAACGTCTCCACATGGAAGATATCCGTGTTGAACACGAGTCTCATTGATCGCAATTCATATTTCGGGCTGTCCGAAACTTCTGCAATTTTATTTCGAAGCCGTGGGTTGTCAATTTTGTCCAGCCTTTAAAATCTTTTGTGACTTGGCAGTTTTATGTCAATGCTTATTCGAGTTGCGAAGGAAAGAGAGGAACATATATACCTCTTAGTATTTATATACACCGAATGGCATGTATATCAATGTATATAATAATAATAATAATAATATCCAAGTGTTTACTCACCTGTCCTTCTGAACAATGTTCATTTACTGGTACATTAAAACGTACATTGATTAGTACTTCAAAAATGAACATTTAATGAAAAAAATGACAAAAGTTGTCTTTACTGGCACATTAAAAAAAAATTGACACAGGAAGAAAGACATTTGACCCAGCAAGAGACATTTACTGCCAGTCTTGAAGAGTGTTACAGAGACTCCTGTGTTGAGTTTCCAGAGCGAAGGTTTAAATGTGGACAGCAGTTTGACCAGCGGGAAGAACGATAAAAAAAATGGGAAAGAAAATAATCAGAGAAAGTGGCGATTGAAAAAGAGGATAAGTGTGGTTATTTAGGTACAGGTATATACGTCTACAATTATCATAGTTTAACATTTGTAAATTACTTAGGATAACCTCCACCCAAAAAAGATCAGGATATTGGGGTAACTTAGGTAAATTTCTCAGATGCAAAGCCGTCACTTAGGACGATTATAGGTTCTCAGGGAGTTGGGGAAAAAAAAAAAAAAAACTTCCCCTGCCCTGACTAGGGCTCCTCTCCCCACTCCATCTTATCTTCCCCTCCCCTTGCATCCTCCCACCTCCCTTCCTCCCCCCTTTCTCTTTTCCCCTTCCTTCCCCTCACTAACTACTGCCCCAGGGAAGGGGTAGAGGAGAGTGAAGCAGTGTGTGTTGTCTTATCTTCTTACTTACAAGGGTTTGAAATCCCAGGCGAGCATTCGTGTGTAAATGACATGTGTTTGTTTGCTTGCTTTCTCTCCCTCTCTCTTTGCTTTCATTTTTTTTCACTGAATTCTACCCCTCCCTCCCTCCCTCTCTCACTCTTCAGACTGTGGTTAATCTTCCTCAGGAGATAGTCTGAAAGGTCTTCTGCTAACTTAATTCTCTAACACACGCACACACACACTGTTCTCTCTGTTCACTCTGACTATTCACTCACTCACTGTTTACTAACATTTCCTAATGCTCCACAACACAAACTTCTCCTAAAACCCCTAAACGGAAGAATTGCCTAAGAGATATGAGCAACGTAAGTAACGATCACGTTATGGCGCCCCCCACCCCAACCATCATAATTACTTCCCTCCCTCTTCCCCTCCCCACCCCCGCCATCCCTGTGCCTCCTATATGCTCGGAAAGCTATTGACACTGGTGGCACTCTGTGGAGTGCCTCGATGACTAACGCTACCGTAGTTGCTTTAATATATCGGTATGTAAAAACGCTACAATAATGAGAAAAAACGTGGTATTTTAAAAATAAATCCTATTCTAATATCGGAAAAAATCTTAGAATGTAATTTACCTTAGTAAATCCCTAATTGACGTAAAAATTGAATGGTAGCTTATTCGGGGAACCCACTTCTGTAGAGAAATCCACTCGGAAGTCGTATGTACTCGTATGTATACATATACACCGCGGTCAGAGTCGTGTATACCCTCACTCAACCTCCAGATGTATACTGACTGAGGTGGTGGGTTTCAAGTCTATCAACTACACGAGGGGCCATTAAGGCTGCACGGTAACCTTGTTCTCACCAGTCAAGAATATTTGAATCGCCTAACGTAAGGATTGTATATATATATATATATATATATATATATATATATATATATATATATATAATATATACATACATACATACATCCCAAGGTGTATGCACTCCCACTTCTGCACACCTCTGTAAATACACACTTATATACTGATTCAACCGGAGGTTACGTGACGTGTAACTTTAACCCACAAAAAAAGCTCTTGGACCCCTCACATATAACCCATACCTGTAAATGATATAATTCAATATGTTATCGTTCACTTATTAAAAGAAAGAATTAACAAAATAGTCAATTATGTAAATGGGTTAACAACGTTGTTAACGATCGTTCACACGCGGTTACATTATATAAATATGGAAGCTGAAAAAGGTCATGAGCAGCGTATTTTGAAATGGAGGAAGGGTCATGCATGGTGACTCTTGCTGATGTTAGGATACAGCTGTGAGATACAGTTAAATGCATGACATCTGCTGCTGTGTAAAAGGGGGTGTCTGGTGTTATGTAGCACCATGTATGGGGATAGGGATGCCTGGTGCTACGTGGTACCCTCTATGGGGATGAGGGGTGCCTGGTGCTAAGTGGCATCCTCTGTAGGGGGTGCCTAGTGGTACGTGGCACCCTCTATGGGGATAGGGGTGCCGGGTGCTGTGGCACCCTCTGTAGGTGGTGCCTAGTGGTACGTGGCACTCTCTATGGGGATAGGGGTGCCGGGTGCTAAGTGGCATCCTCTGTACGGGGTGCCTAGTGGTACGTGGCACTCTCTTTGCGGGGATGGAGGGTTCCTGGTGCTACGTGGCACCCTCTATGGGGATGGGGGGTTCCTGGTGCTACGTGGCACCCTCTATAGGGATGGGGGGTTCCTGGTGCTACGTGGCACCCTCTATGGGGATGGGGGGTTCCTGGTGCTACGTGGCACCCTCTATGGGGATGGGGGGTTCCTGGTGCTACGTGGCACCCTCTGTAGACTACATAGTGTAACTCATCTCTCTCATGACCTCCATGGAGCTACCACCACTACTACTACTACCACCAATCAGCCACCCCCCTCCCCTACAGTACTGCTGACCTGAGGTGCACAAACTCGCCTGAAGACAAAGTTCAACTCATCCTTAACTTTAAATTGATTGAAGATTCCGTCAAGATCTTTCATACTTACCCTGCCGTGCCGTCTCTGTTATGGTCCGTCTCTGAGTTCCGCATCTTAGTTTAGATTACTTTAGGTTAGATTAGGTTAGGTTTCATTTGGTGAAATTAGGATATGGCGGATTAGGTTAAATAGGTTAATTGACCTATTTTTAATTAACCTATGTTTATTCATGTTAGACGAGGTTTCTGTTCATCCCGGACCATTATGAAGCCTCAGTTCGGTCGAGGAAGGACCAAAATGTAGTGAACAGGCTCTCTTGAGTGCTAGTTACTGGGTAATTATGAAGGGCGACAAGACAGGCCGAGGTGAATTGACCTTCACAAGCTGAGTTCTGAATTATTATTATAATCAAAAAGAAGCGCTAAGCCACAAGGATTATACAGCGCTGCAGGGCAGGAAGGAAGCGAGGGCATCAGGTGGCAAAAGGGAGATGGATGAGTAATAGGTTACGGATAACAGCGGGGTAGTGGATGGTGAAAGGGTAAAGGGCAGCAAGAGACTGAACTAGAAAGGGCTGAGGGGAGTGCGAAAAGTATCATCAGAGTTTGTGGAGTAAATCAGTCGTTGTCAAGAAGTCAATGAGAGAGTCAGGATTAAAGGAGGGTCCATCAGCAAGAAGGGAAGGTAAAGAGAGAGTAGTAGAACGAAGACGACGTTGGAGGTAAATTCTGCGTGCTCATTGATAGAGAGGGCAGTCTAACAGAATGTGGCTAATCGATACTGGAACTTGACACTGCTCACAGAGAGGAACAGGGTGCCTCTCCATGAGATACCCATGAGTAAGATGAGTGTGGCCAATGCGAAGGCGGGAGAGAGTGGTCTCCCAACCTCGGCACTGGTGACAAGAAGACGGCCAGTAACCTATGCTCGGTTTAATAGAATGAAGTTTGTTACCGAGCAGAGTTGACCAACGTTGTTGCCAACGGGTGCGAAGGTGGGTAGCTATTACAGCAAAATAGTCCAGAAATGGAACACCTCGATAGGAAATTGGTAGGTCATGTACTGCTGACCGTGCAGCAGTGTCTGCCTGTTCATTGCCCTGTACGTCAACATGACCAGGGACCCAACAAAAAACAATATCTTTATGTTTGGTAGAGATACGGCGTAGCCAAAGTTGGATACGGAGAACTAGGGGATGAGATGTATCAAATTTTCGTATAGCCTGTAGAGCACTAAGCCATTTTATTTAAACAAAGACTAGGATGTGTGTGTGTGTGTGGTTGACTAGAGGAACGACTACACCATGGCAAGCATGATGTGGTTGTACCTCCACCACCACCAAGACACTAACACATACCCACCATCACCAAGGTAAAGTCCCAGTAACGCCTAAGTACAGGGATCTGTTACCGGGGGTGAGCGTGTCAATATAACCCGAGCGGTGAATATTTCTGACTTACACGCCTACCCACATCATCCCCCCATCCCAATCCCTTCCATCTTTTCCATCCCTTCCTTGTTTCCTATCCTTCCTTTCTTCTCTCTCCATCTAGTGCCTCATTCACTCCATCTAACCCTTCTCCTCTTCATCCTTTCCGTCTCTCTTTCAATCCCTCTCTCCAGTACCAATCTTCTCCAATCTAACCGTTCTCTTCCCCCCTCTCCCCACTCAACTTCTATCAAGTACCTCACCCTCCTTTCTCTCTCTCTCGCTCTCTCCAGTGTCATTTACACACTAATGGTGTTGGCTACTGTGTAGCAAACTTAACATGACTATTCCCGGCTTATGTACTGGCTAAATTTTTCCGTGTTGTGGTGCGTAGTTGCATATGTTTGTTACGCCGTATGTTTATACGTTGCCTTGTGTTGATATCTAGCGCTTGGGATCGCCCCTCTTAGCTACGAGGAAACGATAAAAGCATTAGGGCCAACGTTTCGACCTGTATGGAACGTTATCAAGACGTCCCTGCGACGTTACCATCCCCCGTCGGGCTAGGCCTGTCTTCCTCCACCTCTTCTGTGTCCCCTTGAGTATCTGGTATGACGTGGTGATGTCTCCTCTTGTGGTAACCTCTTCCTGAGACAAGAAGTGAAGTTCGTCTAGTGTGTGTACTCACCTATATGTGGTTGCAGGGGTCGATTCACAGCTCCTGGTCCCGCATGTGTATTGGAAAAACAACACATAGCTAGAAAATACATTAAAGAAAACTGAAAAATTTCAGTATAGAAAAAATATATTATTTAATATATATAATAGAACTATAAAAAGGACAATAAAATATTGAGTTGTCGTCAACAAAATACTTTTATTCGCCACGTTGGGTGATTTTCAGCTCTACAGCAGGGGAGAATTAAGGTGAAAATTCCATCCTCCCTCTTGGAGGACACAAAAGTGCTAAGAAACGAGTAAATCATTTTCTTTTACAGATTTACGTATTTTTACCCCACAGTGATTTGATTTACATCGGCAATTTAAAGACTTAGAATTCTGCTCCTAATTTACACACACACAAAAAAAAAGTAATTTTTTTTTTTACAATTTACAAATTTAAATATTTTTTTACACAATTCGTTCACATTTTTTTTACAAGACTGTAAATGAGTGTCATACACAGACACATATCTGTTTACAACCTTCACCTCCGGTACAGCTGTTTTACAAGTTGCGTAAATAATTTACATCAGTTCCCTTGCCCATTACATTCTCGATTTTATTTTATGCATCATTTACATTACTATTTTTTACAATAAACATCCATCCCATAATTCCATTTTTGATAAATTATATTTTTTATTATTTAAACAATTACATTCCTGATCATTTAACGAATTACATTCCTAATCATTTAAACAATTACATTCCAGATTATTTTAACCAATTCCATTCCTGATTATTATAAAAGTTACATTCCTGATTATTTTAACCAGTTTTTTACATTCCTGATTATTTTAACCAACGTAAACATTATGACAGTTCTCTACAAATTATTTTCACAGCAACGCAAGTAATTTCCTGTATAATATCGCTCTCTCGTAAATTACATTTGAGAGGGGAAAAAAATTACTTTTCAGTGATACTACTGAACTTATGCCCTTGTGTCACTCAATGAGGAAGACACAGTGACGTCATCAACTTATACATCATATATATTATATATATATATATATATATATATATATATATATATATATATATATATATATATATATATAATATATATATATATTATAATATATATATAATTATATATAATATATATCCCCGGCCGAATACATAATATATGCGTATTTGGACCCAAAATAGCAACTCTCTTCTTCCGAATAAGGGCAAACGAGAACTTTTTGTATGAAAAATAATTTCTCAAAATCCTTGTGAATTTAACCGAAAAAAAGGAATTTTATTGTGATTGTTTATTATTATCAACTTATATAAAATATCTGTAGCTGGATTAAGCTAAATTAAATTGCGCTTGTTAAAATAAGGTTAGGTAAGTTTTCTAAGGTTCTTTTGGTACGAAATAATTAATTTATATTTTAACATAAATAAAAAAAATAATATATTTTTAAACGTATGAGAAAATTTTAGAAAGGACTTAATTTTTAAGTGAGTTCTTGCTAATTGACCAGTTTTACCTATTCGGCACGACATATATATATATATATATAAAACTAATTTATGGGGAAGCGCTAAACCCGTATGGGACATATACAGCCAATGGTGTGCCGGGAGAAGCGATGACGCCACTGAAGAGTTTTTTTTATTCTCGTGGGATTTAAAAAAAATCCGAAAAAAATTTTTGTGATAA